CAGAATAAGGAGAATGTTGTGTATGGTAACAGAAATATTGTATGATGAATTGTGAATGACTTAGTTATTCTCAGTAATATGATGATCCAAGACAATCACAAAGAACTAATGATTAAGCATACTATCTATCTCCATAGAAACAACTTACACTGCTTGAATACAGAGTGAGACACGTTATTTTTCACTTTCTTTCTTTCTTTCATCTTTTTCTTCTATTTTAGTCTCCTTGTACAAAATGACTAATATGGAAATGTTTCACATGATTGAGTATGTATAGCCTGTATCCAATTGCTTACCATCTGAGAGAGGGGGGAGGAGAGAGAAGGAAGGATAAAATTTGGAACTCAAAGCTAAAAGAAAACAAATAATAAAAAAAATTTTAAACATGTAATTGGGGAAACAGGGTGCTTGAGAAGAATATACAAAAATAGAGATATTAGCTGGGGGATCAGGCCTTTCATAAATGCCATTCTCATTTGAACTGGATAAAGGAGTACATAGAATACAACCACACAGAGTTTGGTGTAGTAATATATTAAACACAAGAGAGACAAGGAAAGAGAACAAAAAAGGTTTAAAAAAGACAGCAGAATCAGGGAAGGTATATTCTTAAACAAACCAAACTTCAACTTCAGAGAGTATATCGTAAAGGTAAGTTAAAAGGGAAAAAAAGAAAATGTAGATTGAGATTTAGGTAAGAGGAAGAGGGAGAGTGGAATGGAAACAGTTTGCTTTAATTAAAGATTATTTGTATTGATCATACTTCCTGCATTGTGCTCTCTTCTTCATTGTAAAAAGGGAGAGATGGGGACCAAAAAAGAAGTTATGATATAGGGAAAAACACAAATAATAATCATACCTGTGTGAGAGGTACCTAGGTGGTACAGTGGATAGAGCTACGGCCTTGGAGCCAGGAAGACCTGAGTTCAAATTCGACCTCAGACACTTGACACTTACTAGCTGTGTGACCCTGGGCAAGTCACTTAACCACAATTGCCTCACAAAAAAAATAATACTATCTGTGAACATGAATGGTATTAACTCACCCATGAAACAGAAGACAGTAGTAAAAGAGAGTAGAAAGTAGTACCCAATAAAACAAGTCTTATATTTTACAAGAAACACATATGAAAAATTAATCAGGGAGAAATATACAGTAAAACTGCAATAGCTGGGGACCTCTATGTGCTCCATTCATAAGTCTAACAAAAGGATAAACAAGAAAGAATTTAAGGACTAGGATAGCACATTAGAGAAATTCTAAATGATTCAGTTAGTCATTCAACAGCATTTATTAAGCACTAACTTGAATCCAGTTACTCTGCTAAGTGCTAGGAATACAAATAAAAGCAGAAAGAAAGTCCTTGCCTTTCTTAAGAAGTTTATATTCTAATTGGGAATGACACTATATAGAAAGCTGAAAAATAGTGAGACAGGAGGGACCAAGTATGGTGGAGATGGTAGTTCTCTGGTGATTGCTTTAATGAGAAAACAAAGAAGCACTTCTAATAAAGTGACCATGTGTTTATGCAGAAAAAAAACCCTTCATAAATAAATGGAGAAAAGCAGAAATATTAGACACAATCTTTACTGATCATAGAGTGATAAAAATTAGAATAAAGGACTTTTTTAAAAATAAGGATTCAAACTTCTTTATAAACTAAATAATTTTCACTTAAAGAATTAGATTAATGGATAAGTTATAGGAAAAATAATTTCATTAGAAAAATGACAACAATGAGATAGCATATAAAAAGTTTTAAGATAAAAACAAAATTGTACTAAGGGGAAAATTATGTCTATGAAAATTTCTATTAAAAAAAGAAAGAACAGATAAGTAAATTGAGAATGAAACTGAAAAATCTAGAAAATACAAAAAAAATCAAACTAAACACAAAAATAGAAATTCTGAAAATTTTTTTAAAAAACGTTTTTAAAAATTAAGTTGACTTAGAGCTATTTTTGAAAAACAGTGAAATGCTTAAAAGGTTTGCTAATCTGTTTATAAAAAGAGAGATGAAAACCAAATAACCAATATGAAACATGAAAAAGAAAAATTCACAAAAAATGAGTAGAGTTATTAGAAATTTTTTTGCTCAAATATATGATAAAAATGATAACTTAAATTGATGACTCTTTGCAAAAATATGAAGTATTCAGATGAGCAACTTAAAAAAAGAGTTAAATATACTACTCTCAGAAGAAAAAGGAAATTGAACAAGCCATAAATAAGCTCCCAAAGGGGAAAAAAAAACAGGACCAAGATGAGCTTATAAGTGAAATCTATCAAACTTTCAGCAAACAATTCCAACATTACCTACATGATAGCAAGAACACAAAATAAGGGATAACACCAAACTTATTCTATCATGCAAAATATGATTTTAATATGTAAACTAGGAGAAAAAGGCACAAGGCATAAGGGTGACAGCACTAGGCCCTGGAGTCAAGAAGAGTTGGGTTCAAATCCTGCCTCAGAATTGCCACCCTGGGCAGTTCACCTAACCTCTCTGTACCTAAATTTCCTTATGTATAAAATGGATCTGATGGCTTATAAGGTCTTTTACAGCTCTAAATTTAAAATCATGTGATTCCAGAGAAAGAATACTAAAGACCAATATTCCTAATACATATTGATGTAAAATATTAAGCTATTATCAGAAGCTATAACCATGTATTCCAAAGATTAAATACTCGGATGAAATTGAATCTATACAAGACATATATGATTATTTCTGTATTAGGAAAACTATAAATATAGTAGACATATTAACCAGAAATAAAATCATGATAACATTTGTGGACAAGGCTCTGGGACTACTATCACAACTCCAATTTGTACCAGCTATCTAGGTTTCCAGAGGGTACCTGGCTACTTCTCCCTTCCAGGTTCTAGGGGTAAACCTTTGATGTTGGTGTTGTTTTCTACTACTGTTGCTCAAGAGCCCCTCACCCATTGATTATCAGTTGATATTAGAATTAATTAGCTTTTATTTAAGGGTTACTTACTTAAGCTTTTACTAAGGTGTTATAGTAGGAGTGTTTGGTGCAAACATTTACCAAAGCGTGAGGCATACTCTCCTACAAGTATATGCAGAATATAGAGGAAAGTGGTCTTAACTTTAGAGCATGTCTGGCAAAGCGCATAGGTGACTCAGCTTCTGTAAGTCCTTTTCCTGGAAATTCTTTTGTGCCTTTTTTAATGTCTTCAAAACATTTTTCTTAAGCACAGTGTGGCTTGCTGCTGGTCTCCTTGAAGAGTCCTGAAGCTGTTTTTTCTCATTATGTATAGTCTGACTCCAGCTTTTCATATAGACACTACTGTGAGTTACTGTTGATCTAGGGGTACTTTTAAGATACCCATAGGAAAGCTAAAACCATCTGACTTTTCAAAATTTACAAGATTATCCTCTGTTCCATGTTGAAGGGTGGGGTGGTAAAGAAAAAATGTATGTTATCACAACTACTGTTTTATATAGTTCTAGAAATGCCAGCCTTAGAAATAAGAAAAAAAACAATTGAAGAAATAAACATAAACAAAGGAGGAATAAAATTACAGCTTTTTTTTTTTGCAAATGTTGTGATGGTATACTTAGAGATTCACAGAGATTCAATTAAAAATTAATTGAAATAACTTAAACAAAGATATGGGATATAAAAAAATCCACACAAACTATCAGCTTTTCTGTGCATTAACAGCTAAACCAATCAGGAAATGACAGAGAAATTTTATTCAAAATAACTATGGAATATAAGAATTATAAAATGTTTGGAGTCCAATTGCCAACCCATACATAGGCACTATTATATATATTATAACTACAAAATGCTCTTTACAGAAATAAGGATATATTTAAATAAATGGAAAGACATTAATTTTTCATGGTTAGGCAATACCAATATAATAAAATGATCATATTACCTATATTAATTTATAATAAACTGCCAAAGATTTTCTTTAGAGAATTAGAAAAGCAGTAATATAATTCAACTAGAAAAACAACAGTTTAAAAATCTTAAGATAAATAATACAAAGCAGCACCAGATGCCAAATTATACTACAATAGATGATGATGATGATGATAGATAAATGGATAGCTAGATAGATAGATAGATGATAAGGATATAGCATTTAGTAAGTACCTATGATGTGCCAGGTATTACGCAAAGCAATGAATAAACACACACCACCAAAAAATATTATCTTTACTCTCAAAGAGCTTGCATTCTAATGCAGGAACACAACACATGAAGGGGGAGCTAGAGAGCAAGGTATCTGTGTGGGGTCAAGGAAAAGGGAGAGAATTCATTGCCCTTGAGAAGCTGGTGAATTCAGTCGATTGAGGAGTAGAGCTGGCAGTGAAATGAACGTGTCTTATGCACCTCATGAAATGATTATCTGAGCCAAGGACTCCTCAATCAGGAAAGAAAGCCTTAGGATAGAGATATCTCCAGGGTAAGAGGACTTCTGGGGGAGGAAGGGAGATGGAAAAGATTAGAGAGCAAAGCATGAAGCCAGGAGTAATTATGAAGCTGTAATCATGAAAACTATTTGATATTGCTTAAAAAATAGAAAAGCTGATCAGTGGAAGACATTAGTTAACACAAGCAAATTCAGAAGTAAATGAACATAGTGGCATAGTGCTAGATAAACCCAAATACCCCAACTACAGGAGTAGGAACTCATTATTTGGTACTACAAAAATTGGAAAGTAGTCTAACAGAAATTAGGTTTATTTATTTTTTATTTTTTTATTTTTTGGGGCTAGGCAATGGGATTAAGTGACTTGCCCAGGGTCACACAGCTAGTAAGTGTTATGTGTCTGAGGCCGGATTTGAACTCAGGTCCTCCTGAATACAGGGCCAGTGCTCTATCCACTGTGCCACCTAGCTGTCCCAGAAATTAGGTTTAGACCAACATTCCACAATCACTTCCAAATGAATATTTTACCTTGATTTAAAAATCACATTATAACGTATAGGAGCAGAGAAGGACATACCTTTCACAAGCATAGATGTGGGAATGCTTTTTGATCAAGTTGGCATCTAGAGAATCAAAGGTGATAAAATGAGTAATTTTGATTACATGTAATTAAAAAGTTTTTGCACAAACAAAATCATTGCAGTTAAAATTATAAGGGAAACACTTATATGGGCAAAAAAATAAATCTTTATAAGCAAGCCTCTGATAAGGAAAACTCCCTTTTGGGTTTGACATATTTGACACCAAACTCTGTATGTCCAGCCCTGTTTGTCCATTTCAGAAAAGAATGTTGTTAATTTGATTCTCACCCCTTCCAACCTTTCCTTTGCATTGTAGTCTTTTATCTATCTGTCTATCCATCCATCTATCATTTTAGGAGACTAGGTCACCCTATCTTACCCAGGCTTGAAGTGCAAAGATCACTCATAAGCCTGATCCTTATATTGATTCTCCTTCTGTTTCCCTTTTCAAACTCTTAGAACAGAATCAGTGCACCCCTTGTTTCTTTTTTTAACTCTCTGAATACCCTTTGAAAACATTAAGGTTCTGACAGATTCTAAATGTGTTTCTTCTCCTCCATTAAAATATTAGCACTGCATCATCATACAACTCTTTCCAATTTCTCAAATAAATTTAGCTCCCTAGATTTTTCTCGACTCTTGTGTTTATACTTTAAAGTTCCTACATAAATTTTTTTCATCAGAAATGTGTGAAAGTTTACTCTGTTAAAGCTACATGTTTTCATCTGTAGGATTATGCTCAATTTTGCAGAGTAAGTCAGCTTTTTGGAATATTATATTCCAATATTTTCTTTGTAGTTGTTGTTGTTGTCATTTTTCAGTCATATCTGACTCTTTATGACTCCATTTGGAGGTTTTTTGGTAAAGATATTGGAATGGTTTTTGTCATTTCCTTCTGCAGTTAATTTTTACAAATGAGAAAAATGAGACAAACAGGGTTAGTTGACTTTCCCAGGGTCAGATAGCTATTAAGTCTGAAGCAAGATTTGAACTCAGGAAGATAAGTCTTCCTGACTCCAAGCCTGACATTCCATCCAATGTATCACCTAGCTGTCCCAATATCTCCTTTGTCTCTTCACATTTTGCTGACAGGTCATTCACTGGTACTTAAACTACTTCTTTTTGGCAGTTTGCAGTATTTTTCCTTTGACCTAGATGCTTTGGATTTTGGCTGTAATATTCTTATTATTTTTGTTTATGCTCCTCCTTTTGGGGGTGATGGGTAGACTCTATCTTTGCTTTGACTGGTTCTAATGCATGTAGGCAGTTTTCATTCATGATTTCTTGAAATGTAGTGTCTGAAGTTTGTTTTTTTACCATGGTTTTCAGGGAGTCTAATAATTGCTAAATTATTTTTCCTTCGTTTTCCAGATTAATTGTTTTTGATAATAGATATCTTAAATTTTCTTCTATTTTTTCAATCTTTAATTTTGTGTTGAAACCTATGATTCCTCAAGGTCTTTCAACCTTTCAGAGTTCACAGGGTTGTAAACTGGATAATCCATCAAATATTTGATCTCTTTGGGTGAAGTCCTAATAGTGGTATCATTGGGTCAAGGGATAAGCCCAGTTAAATGATCTTTTAGGCTTAGTTTCAAATTGCTTTCCAGAATGGGTGGAACAATTTTACAAATAGTGCATGAATGTACATGTTTACCCACAGCTTCTCCAACAACTGTTATTTTCCATCTTTGCCAATTAGTGAGTATGAAGTAGAACCTCAAATTTCCTTTAATTTACATTTCTTCCATTTGGAGCATTTTTTCATATTGCTTCTAATACCTTGGATTTCTTCCTTTAAAAATTGCCTATATCAAAAATGGCTGTCATTATTATATATTTGAAAAAAATGTAAAGAACAAATCCATTCATATTTTTTTAATAAGGAAGAAAAGCAGAAGGGTGGAGTGTAAGGCTTATGGAATCTGGGATTCTGTGGGCATCAAGACACCTGGGTTCTAGTCTGGGTTTGCCACTAATTGTGTGATACTGAGCAAATTCCATGGCCTCTCTGGGATTGTTTCCTGTACTTTAAAATATCAAGGTCCCGTTTTTAGGTCTTTTCTAAATGCAAAATTCTATTGGTTCATGTTACCAGAGCATGAAGCTACTGGGACCCTAGGGATAGAGGTTAGTAAAGGGAGAATATTACCATAGATATGAAAGGTGCTAGTTTGGAAGGATGGGACATGCACATACAATTTTTTCCTACTTTTAAATTCTCATGCTTTCTTGAGCCGTTTTATATCCTCCTCTTGGAAACAAGCCATTCCTTTATTTCAGCACTTTTCATCATCAAAGCAATTCAAGACTAATCTTGTTACTGTTATTGCTGTTTAGTTGTTTCAGTTATGTCCAACTCTTTGTGACCCCATTTGGGAGATTTTCTTGGCAAAGATGTTGGAGTGGTTTGTCATTTCATTCTACAGCTCATTTTATAGATGAGGAACTGAGGGAAACAGAGTTAAGCAACTTGCCCATAGCTACTTGTCTGAAGCTGGGTTTGAACTTGTGAAGATGAATCTTCCTGATTCCAAGCTCTATCCATTGCACTACCTAGCTGCCCCCAAGACTAAACTTACTAATTAATTATATCAATACCCCTTTTTAAAATTAACCCAATAGACTCTTGAATTGTTATTTTAAACAACAACAATAACAACAATAAACAATAAACTTCTCTTTCTCTTGACTCCTTCCTCACAATAGCTTGTTTTCTTTCTATTCTAATCAGGACACTGGCCAGTGAAGGCCAAGTCCTTGGAGTATGCTCAAATATGACCTTCCAGATAATGTGTATGCACAATATTCTATGACTCCTTCTAATACAATCCATGAAGGCTTGGTGAGTCTAATTCTGGCCATGAGTGATTTAGAGGATAATGCTGTATAATGATGAAGTCATCGGGATGGCTAACAAGGATTGATGATTCAGGAGGCCCAGAGACAGAACTAAGTTTGAATTCAAAAGGTGGCTATTTACATCCCTTTCCCTTTTATCTTTTTTTTTTCCTAGCAGCAAGAAAGGAAAGAACTACTATAAGTCACCAGATAGAGGGAGGAAAGTAATCATCTTATCCAGCTCCCCAATGATTGTGAATTCATAACACTTTTGTTTCTTTTGTGTTTATTTTTCTTCATCTTAGAATATGTTGAGAGGGGAGTGCCACAGGTGAGAGGAGGAGATCCAGCAAACTCAAAAAAGATCCAGCTGACAACTAGATTTGGTAGTAGCAGCAACCAAGTATGATGAGGCGCCATCACAACAGCTTAGTGAGTTGTTTGGCCCATCCTTGCAGTGGATTGACCTGCCTGACAAGATGCCTCAAATACAAAGGATCCAGACTCACTGAGCAAAGGAACAACTTATCATGATTCAATGAAGCCTCCTGAATTGGACTTGGGAAGAGATTGCTTAAAGAAAGAAAAAGACCACTAGAGTTAAGATTCATTATATATACCTCAAGCTCCATGTGTTCTTTATATGCCTGATAACCTTTGTCCTGTAGGTATGAACCCACTCCCCTTAGGAATAAATGGAGAGCTCTCCTACCTCTCAATTTTTGGGGAATATTTTCATACCTTCGATCCCGGATATATCTTCACAGTAACTATTCCCTTGTAAAAGTGAATTGATGTCAATTGGGATTGATACTGGGTGGAAGGAGCATACCAGATGGGGGCCTGTAACAATATTAGAAACTCCACACTCAGGGTTACCACTAGAATTTTGAGGGGAGACAACTGTCATTGTCCTCTGGGAACCTAATCTATCAATCTAATTCAGATTAGAAGAGTGAGCCCATGCTACATTATTTAATTATAAAGGAAGAACTAAATAAAAAAAGGAAATGGAGAGAAATGGCTAAGTATTTTAGTGTAAAACCCCTCATACCGTTCCTTGGACAATATTGAAATTATTTATAACCTGGTTCTTTTTATCAATCAAATCAATCAATAAACATTTCCAGACTCTATGCTGGATGCTAGAAATATAAAGACAAAAAAGAAACAATTCCTTCTCCCAAACAGTTCAATTGTGGCAAAAAACATGTTCATACATCAAGTATATACAGAATAATTAAACAGAAATTTTTTTGGGGGGGCACTAGTAGCTGGAAAGATGAACATTAAATACTATTTAATGTTGGGATACCATTCAGCTCCATATTTCCTAAAAGAGAAAATGTTTTGGGGCCACCATTACTTGAGATGGTAGCAGGACCTATTCAAAGTTTTACAATTGCAAATATGCTTTCTACCATAAATTAAATCAATGAAATAATACTGGTATCCTGTACAATCTACAACATATTTCTTTTTTGACTATGACAACTCATAAAGACCAGCACATAGAGGAGGTTGAGGTCTGTGCTTCTGGAGAGAGAGACAACTTCAACAACATAGCTAACATTGATATAGCACTTGAAAGTTTGCAAAGCATTTTTTATGTATTGTCCCATTTGATCCTCTCAACAATTCTGTGAGATTGGTGTTATTATTATTCCCGTTTTAGAGATAAGGAAGCAGAATACCCACACAAATTAAATTATAGAATGCTGAATGTAGAATGCTAACCTTTGAATCGCAGATGTGCCACTTAGTAATAGTGGCACTCTTAGCCCTAGTTTCTTTACGTATAAAATGTTGTTCTTTTTCAGTGGTTTTGGTCTTGTCTGACTTTTTGTGACCCCATTTGGGGTTTTCTTGGCAAAGATACTGGAGTGATTTTGCCATTTCCTCCAGCTCATTTTACAGATGAGGAAACTGAGGCAAACGGGGTTTAATGACTTGCCCAGAGTCATACAGCTAATACATGTCTGAGGTCAGATTCAAACTCACAAAGATGAATTTTCCTGTATAAAATGAAGGAGTTGAATTGGAACATCTCTAATACCTCTTCTATTAGAAGGGGGTTGAGTTAGAGGGCTGAATTAGAATACCTCTAAGTTCAAGATCTATGAGCCCATGATTCTGTGATCCATGATCCAATAAAAGCTAGTATACAAACTACTATGCCCAGCTAATTTTTTTTTTATGAATT